GTTCCGGGCGCCCGTTGCCGACCTGTTGCAAATGCAACGCGACCGGCGACGCGTGCAACGTCTCCCTCGTGTCAACGACTACTCGACTACACGACTACACCACCACACGCACGCACTTCCCCATATATATCGTACGCGCATCGAAATTACATCGCTAAGGTCGGATCGGCCGATTCTCGTTGTAAACATCGCACGCAAACGCATTTTAAATCCGGCCGCGCACTTCAAAATTCATCATATATCGTGAAACCTTTGCGACGAAATTTTTCAATTAATTTTAATAATACTCACATAACTTTCAAGCTGAAGTGCAGTTAATCATTCTGTATAATTATGGAGCGCATCGTTGATGGACACAATAATCATATCTCGATCTGCATTATACGACTCTCAGAAGTTACATCTAGCTAGCTAACACCGAACAGGTTTTTAGTCATGTATGTGAAATTTGCAAACGACTTCCATGCCAATTAGCCAAGGTCGGTTATGCGAGACCAGAGCGGGATTGTGTGATTGCATTTTCCACATAATAATTGCATCGCGACGCATATTACAAAGGGCGACGACTTCGACTTTGTCCACGCGTTAACTCGAGAGCTCTCACATGTATGTAACTTCCTCGCGATCCTTGCACGCGAATTCCGCATGTTTCTTATCTCGGTATCGTTCCGGCGTTTGCTAGAAACGAATTAGACAACGCACTCGTCCGATTAGCATCCATGACTAGCGATAGACGCACGAACGGAAGTATTATTCTTTTTCTTGCAGCTACGAGATCGTATCGCATAGTTTTCACGTTTTTGCCGGCACCCGGAAATTTTTATATTTTTCTGTTAATTAGATCAGAGACGTATAGCTAATTAATCATAAGACAACATGCGACATTTTATGTAATTAATCATTACGAAACTATAATATATTCGATAAAATAAAAAAATCTAGGTTATTAAAGATTAAATAAAACCTTCGAAGCTTTATTTGTGTAACGCGTCAGAGATATTTAGCGAATGTGAAAAGCGTGTATATAACGTTGTTATATGAGCAATACACACGGTTCATTCGTAACTTTTTGTAACCGTGTGCGTAGTATCGCAAGTATCGCCGCCGGTGCGACGTTATACAGAACACGCTGTACCTGTTATCTATCACGATCGTCAACATTTTTTACTTCCCACATCTCAAACGTTTATACTAATCCGACAAAAAATCTTCAGCACATGCACGCCTATCGCGAGACGTCGTTTGCCGTACGTCGTATATCGACGTGCGTCGTCTCTCGTCGTGAAAGTTTATAAATCATCACGTTTATAATTCGACAATGATATATCTCTTGGAACGACTTGGACCTATCCTACGCATATACGAGTATGATGTTTCATGCTATTATTAGGCATGCAAGGTGTCTCCCGACTAATATTCATCAACCACAGAAAGCTCGACAGACTTTCTCCCAATGCAAAAAATTTTGCTGGAAGATCGAAATAGCTTTGTAATTTTTCGAGCGTTAAACATCGTGAAATTTTAAATTATATTTGACATTAACCGAGATGTATAATCAGCCTTATTACTCGATTATGTCAAAAGCTTCCTTTATCGAAATGTTCAAAGTATAATATTCGAGAATATGTATTAGTCATGAGATACAGTTGTGGAGTAATAAGATGGAACTTACCGGCCAAGTGAACTCGAACGGGAACCTGATGGGATTGGCGAAGCTCGGCAGAGCAACGTTCGTGCTGAGATTAATTCTGTTCTCGCCGAGAACGGGCGTCACGACGTCGCCGTACGTGCAGGGCGACGTCGTGTCGATCTTCACCTGGTACTGCTTCAGGCAAACCCGAAATCTCGTCTTACAGACCCCCGAGCATTCGCCTGTCTTGGACGCGCTGCCGGAACAGCACTTGCCCAGACTGTCCTTGCCGAACTCGTTCACGAAGGACTTTAGCCTCAGCTCGAACACCCCCGAGGCGTTCACCTGGAAAACACGCGTATTTTACTTCTTCGAGAGGATACCTCGAAACCATGGATATTAAGGATCGAGAGACAAAATTAAATCAAATTAAACGGTCTATAATATCACACGCTGAAAAAAATATAAATATAAACAAAACAAAAAAAATTGAAAATATTGAAATATATAATCCGAATCGAATTTTTGACGAGTACATAACCGCAAGTATCGCGAGTCGCAAAAAAAGAGTGTTCTTCAGGGGGCGTTGAGCGCAAACAGGCACCCCGAGTCTTTTTAATCGCTACAACGCGTGCAATCGTAAAATGATCTTAATAACTGGATCTGGTCCACAGTTGGCGGCGGATCATCATGAGAGACGCGAAAAAAAGAGCTCGGTGGTATCAAACGGAGCTCTTTCTCTCCATCCGCGAGACGGGGGACGTCGTCGTCTCGTGCCCCACGACGTGAAACGCCGCAGGAGCACGTGTGCGCGCGCGTTTTTGCGAACGTGTGTCACGCACGCCTCCCAGGAGGAGAGAAGCGAGTCGACGCGACAAAAACCGTGCGTTCTCTCTCGCTTACTCGCGTTGCGCGAGAACATATCTCGAGAGACGTTACCGTTCGTCGCCGCGCCACGCTATTATAATCGAATTACGAAAATATCCTACGATTTACCGCAGATTCGACGATTCTGGTTTTTGTTACCGTCGAGTTTGGTTTACTTGGCCGTCTCTCTTTTTCTTTCTTTAGAACTGGAACTAGTGGTCAGAGACTTTTCGAGCTTCCAAAATGTTAACGATAAAAGAAGGATAGGACTATCCCGCGTGAGTGAAAAATTTTCACTTTCAGGAATATCTTTTCAATATTTACGTAAATTCGATTATTTCGTCGGGAAAAAAAATCAAAATAAAAAATTTCTCCTTGTCACTTGACGAACTGCCAGTGCGCTATTATTAATAGCGCCAGCGGATATTTCTTTTTGAAACGTGTGGATGCAAACCGCCTGCAAAAAGAGGCCGGCCGACCAAGCTCGTAAATGCATCAACGCTCTAGTTGCCTCGCGAAGCGCTGCTTAACGAAATTACCGAGAGACTCCGGTAGAAACCCGGGGCTCGAAGTGCAAAGCGAAAAACGACGGGTCGATTAGCGCGTTTTTCGGCGACGTAAAATTATTCTCGGCGCGATTAACCATCGGCGCGATTCATCGCGCTATCCCACTCGAACGTATCGCGAGATATAGTCTCTGCAATTATTATTATTCGATATAAAAACGCGTGATAAATAAACTACCGAGCAGCGGAATAGTCCTTTAATAGCTGAAAGAAAAACACGTTAGCCAAGGTTTAACGGATTCCTTCGATACGTCTATCAGTACCGTCGCGATCGAGCCGATATTATGTCGTGTAAACAACGCCGACGTCAGATATGCGTCTCTTATTTTTCCTCTCCTGGTCGTCGCGACGCCGAGAACATTCTGTATCCGTAGACACGGTGTGTACCTTCCCCTGTGTGCGTTCCCCTGTGTGTACACGAGTACGCACACGAATGCAACCTCTGAACGAGGCTTCCCACGAGATATTATATAGCCGAGAGCGAACGGTAAGTCCTTTAGCGAGGTCCGAACGACGAGCTCGGCATTAGATTTCCTTTATCGAACTCGCATAGTCTCGCGATCGCGTATCTCGCACGCATCGATTACGCGCACCATTAGCAACCTCGGGATCTGTCATCCTAAAGTGAAATGAACGGATAAATATGTATGTGTGAAAGAAATTTAAATCGGCTGATATTATACAAAGATACGGATAGTATTGTTAAATCAAAACTATTTTTCGTATATATATTTGACGATCGCGTCGAAGATCCCGTCACGTCAAAAGCTTGGAAAATAAGATATCCCATAACGACCTTGCGAGATAAAAATAAACGTTCGTACGCGGATACAGCGGTACTCGGATACAGCGTAGCGACCGAATGTTTCTCGCGGCAATAGGCTATTTTTAAAACAAAAGAACGAATAATATATTTAAATGCATACGTATGATCTATCTCGCGTTCAACGGAAAATGCAGCTGCCCGAGATCCCCCCCCCCCGGCTTTATTTACTTAAACACAGATGTCGTGTTCGGTGTCGGACAAGCTTCTAGCGATAAGAACCGACCTCCCTTGCCCAATCACTATCGTGCACTGTATTCGAAGTGGGACACTCGATGCAATTGCACTCGTCGCGATCCGTCCCGTTAGTCCGTATCTCGCGAAAGTAAACGATTAAACGAGCGGCTCATACATATACACGCACGCACGCACGCACGCATGCACGCACGCACGCACACAAATCCCGTGCACCTCGGCGTTGCCCTCACGATGAGGAATCTCATTTTTGGCGCGCTGGAAAGTTATTCTGGGAACGGAGAATGGCCGCCACGCGTATTTACGGATACGCACGGCACCGACGGTGCGTTTCGTCACACACAAAACGATTTTCGCCGCCCGGGCCACCCTTCAGACGCCTTTGAGGCGTGTCTCCTTGAGGGAGGCCGCGCGATCGCAACACCCGATGGATGATGCACACCTCGGCACCGCACCGGACAACAAAGGACTCCGCTCTCGTCGATGATCGATTCTTACGAAGATCTTCCGCGAAGACCGAGAATAAACGAGCGAGAAACGAGTCTAACACGGTTTGAAATCATCGTTAGGCGCAACATCGGGGAGGAGAAAAACGAATAGAGAGGGAGAGAGAGAGAGAGAGAGAGAGAGAGAGAGAAGAAAAGAGAGCGGAGCTAGACTAATTTTAAAAGAGTGCATCCAGATTTAGAGTTGGGTGCACCGTTGAATACGCCGTTAGAGACTCGAATAGAAAACTTTTCAAATGGCGAAAGGGATTTTATAAGCTGAAAAAATTCCCTAAAGGGAAATACTGAAACTTACGATATCAATGATCAATTATAAGACAATAAAATTAATCGAATTATCTTAAAACAAAGAATTTTTAGAAATAAAAAAAGGAAAAAAAATAAGAAAATGACTGATTAATAACTATACTGAGTATCGTATAACATTGTCAGCACTATGAATTTAGACACATACATACATACATACATATATACATATTTTTATATATATATATATATATATATAAGCTTCTAATTAAATTTGGTTTAAAAAATTAAAGAATATAAGAGCAGTTAGCGTATTTCGCTAAATAATATAGTATTATAGTATACTATAGAAAGCGTTACTAAGAGATAAGCACGAAGGTAGTCGAGCGCGCGAAGGATCATGGCAGACAGAAAGAACGTGCGAGGAACGGAGAGAAGGGGGAAGCCGGGGGAGACATCTCTCCCAGGAAGAATTCCCTCGGAATCCGTGCGGAGAGAAGAAACCGAGAGAAGAAGCGGGCCGTATAATACGCGAAATGCACCACTCATTCGGAATCGGTCGTTCAAGAGAAGCGATGTACCAGGAAAAAGAAAAAAGAAAAACGTAAATTGCGAAGTGTACAAAAGAAAACAGAAATCATCACGGAAAAAAAGGAGAGTCGTTTCTCAACCCCGCGACTGTCACACGCGATAAAAGTCTAACGAGTACGAGAAAAACGCACGATCGCGATAATTTGTAACTTGAACAAACCAAGAAATTTAAAATTTTTTCTCTTCACCCGGTATTCTTGAGAAAAGTGTTTCTCGAGATATTCGACTGATTCAGTCGTCAGATTATCTCTCGGTACTGCATACCGCGTTTGAAATTAACTTAATTGGCTGTTCGATTTTTAGCAACCAGAGAGGTGGCTGTCATTCCTTGTCGTCCGGTCGAGCAGGTCAAGGTTAAATATTGGGGAATAAAGACTCGGTGGGATCAAAGATCGCACGAACGCTTTCCTCGTATCTCCTTTTAGTGTAGGACTTACGGGTAACGTCGAGGTGTTGGTTGGACGATCTTAACCGTGTCGCGTTGCTCACAATCGCACTTGCGCAAGTGCACGATCCTAAGTCTCGAACGCGTTACGGATCGTTATGAAACGCGAGCCGATTACGTCGAGTCTATTCCGATCTTTTGCATCCCGCGGTGCCTTCCCTTTTTTTTTTTCCCCATACACATTCAACACAACGCTGATCCGTGCGAGCTAAACTGTAATACACATCCGCGTACACAAGGCGCTTGGGTTTTGGATGCCGAACATCGTCGAGCCAGGGCTCATTCATCGAATCGCGATGCCCAAGGTCGGTAGCTCGACACAAGTTGACAAACTCATCTCGATGTAGTAATTGCGGAAACACGTGACGAGTACTATGTTCGGACTTTTACGATACAATCCTTTATTCGTATACAACAACGTAATTTCGAGGAATGCGCGTTT